ATATTAAATGAAACAATTTCATAATCATATATGAAACAAATTCATCAAAAAAAGTATTATATGAAACAATTTCACAAGATTAAACAATTTAATGAAAAAATTTCATAAGATTAAATAATGAAATCGACGTACGAGGGTGGTTTGTACGGTTTTTACAAATGAGGGTGGTTTTCATTTGATCGCTCCTATATATATATATATATATAAGATCTTTTGTTAACCAAGAATATGGTGTTAACTTTTTAAACTTATTGTACCAATAAGATTCATTATTTAGTACATGTTATTTCAAATGTTTGATTTAATAATGAAGAACAAATATGTAAATTTTATATGTAAGTTACTTTTTATTGTATTTAATGATATGTTACAATTTTTTATGTGCAAGTTACTTTTATGTTATTTAATGAAGTTTATAAGAATATGTTCATAACAATAACATATTTATAAGAATGTGCTCATATATAACACCTCATTTCACATTTGCATATAACCACATATTTCACTACAACAAAATTGAGTTTATAGGACACCCCCAATCTCTAAGCGTCCCAATAGACCGTTTTATAAGACTTAATTTATAGGACCAAAATATAAAGCGTCCTATCTAAAGGTGTTGTAATAAGTTTATATGACGTTTTTGGGCGTCTTAACAAGTTTTTTATGACATTTTTAATATAAAGTGTCGCATTAGCAACTTTATAAGACATTATTCAAAAAACTGTCATATATAAACAAGTGTCCTATATAAAACGCTTTATATTAAAAGTGTCCTAAAAAACTTATTACGACGTCGAAAAACGTCATATAAACTTATTACAACGCCTTTAGATATGACACTTTATTTTTGTGGTCTTATAAATTAAATACTATAAAGAAGTCTATTGGGACGCTTAAAAATTGGAAGTGTCCTACAAACCCAATTTTGTTGTAGTGTTTCATTTAATATGAAATACAAATTTACACATTGGTCCCATTATATACAAAATCTTACACTCAAAAATAGCTACAAACTTTTTCCATATATATACCAAGTACAAGAACTTGTTAAGTAATATCTTGTAATAATAAAATATCAAAATTTTAAAAGGTATGCATAAATTATATTCATTTTATTTTGGTAAACAATTATTGTGAACGGAGTAACAATTCGTTTTTTTATAAAATCTTGTAAATCATAAAATATCAAAATTTTATTCGAATTTATATGATCAAATCGTAAACACAATCATGTCCTAGGATAACAGCAAATCCAACAATATTGAAAAGAAGAAAATATGTAATAACAAATCACATTTTTGTAAATAATATAATTATTAGACATCTTTTAAAATCTTTTAAATTTTCTTCAACTCTTATTTCTTCATTACCCACCAAAAGATTTCTGTCAATTGAAAAAATATTGAAGTAGTCAAAATTTAACGTAATTATCAATCATGTATAAATAGTTATTGTTAATAAAACTTAAATTCGAAAAAAGTTTATCGTATCCTGTGATTACAAAATATCAAAATCTTATTCGAATTTATATGATCAAATCGTAAACACGATTTATATGATCAAATCGTAAACATAATCATATCATATGATAACAACAAATCCAACAATATTGAAAAAAAAAATATGTAACAACAAATCATATTTTTTAATGAATATAATTTCTACATACCTTTTAAAATCTTTGAATTCTTCTTCAACTTTCACCTTTTTCATCCATCACCAAAATATTTTCTAGGATTCATTTTGTTTATTATTGAAACTTTGAAAAACAAATTTCATTAAGAAATAAAAGAAAGTAAATGTAAGAGCAAATCAAGAATTGGAGGTTAAACTTGGGTATACAAAATTACAAAAATAACCCAGGTTAATTATGCATTATACATTTTTCATCCAGGGGCAAAAAAGTCTTTAACATATTCAACATTTAGAAAAATCAAAAAAATAAGAAAAAAAATAGGAGGAGTTCTAAGCACTAGAAGGTGTCACCTCATTATATTTGGTTTCTCCTTATATATATATATGTGTGTGTGTGTGTGTGTGTGTGATCAAATCGTAAACACAATCATGTCCTACAATAACAACAAATCCAACAATATTGAAAAGAAGAAATATGTAATAACAAATCACATTTTGTAAATAATAAAATTTTTAGATACCTTTTAAAATCTTTTAAATTTTTTTCAACTCTTATTTCTTCATTACTCACCAAAAGATTTCTGTCAAATGAAAAAATCTTGAATTAGTCAAAATTTAACGTAATTATCAATCACGTATAAATAGTTATTGTTAATGAAGCTTAAATTCGAAAAAAGTTTATCATATCATGTGATACAAAATATCAAACTTTTATTCGAATTTATATGATCAAATCGTAAACACAATTTATATGATCCAATCGTAAGCACAATCATATCATATGATAACAACAAATCCAATAATATTGAAAAAGAAATATGTAATAACAAATCACATTTTTTAATGAATATAATTTCTACATACCTTTTAAATTTTTTGAATCCTTCTTCAACTCTCACCTTCTTCATCCATCACCAAAGGATTTTCTAGGATTTATTTTGTTTATTATTGAAACATTGAAAAACAAATTTCATTAAGAAATAAAAGAAAGTAAATGGAAGAGCAAATCAAGAGTTGGAGGTTAAACTTGGGTATACAAAATTACAAAAATAACTTGGGTTAATTATGAGCTATACATTTTTCATCCAAGGGCAAAAAAGTCTTTAACATATTCAACATTTAAAAAAATCAAAAAAATAAGAAAAAAAGATAGGAGGATTTCTAAGTTCTAAGCATAGAAGGTGACACCTAATTATGTTTGGTTTCTCCTTTAATAAATATATATATAAATATATAAATATATATATATATATATATATATATTGATGACTGATTTTTAAGAACATAATCAATTGTTTATTGATAGCAATTTATGCCAAAACTAAATCAAGAGCAAGAGATTGAGAAATAAAGAGATGAAGAGATAAAGATGGTTAATCAATTGCAATAAATAAAAATAAAAAAAGTGTCCATCAAGAAGTTGAATAGTTTAGGAGGTTAAAGTTAAGTTGAAGTTGTTTCATACATGGTTATGAAATTATTTTATATATCGTTATGAAATTGTTTCATGTAATACTTATGAAATTTTAATGAAACTGTTTCATGTATATTTCTTTAAAATTAATATAATGAAGATGATAATATCCATGATTAACACTCTCCACAATAAAAATGATTAATCAACCTCGCATAATTAAAAAAAATTAGAAAAAATAAAAAATTATAATTGCTTGAATAAGGTTTGTACGGTTTGTACAAATAACATGATTTATAAAGTAAACACCCGCGGTACATATATATATATATATATATATATATATATATATATATATATATACACACTATAAATGTATCTGCAAGATGCAATCTTATGATATTCTTCATTAACAAATTGTACCTAATGCTTAACAACTTCTTTAAAAAATTTGTGTTAAATATTTTATAATAAGAAAAGTAAATTTAAATTCTAACTAAAATATTGTGTATAAATTGGAAAATTCATAATCTTATAATTTGGATTGGTTCATACATCAAAGTTTGTGTCTATTTAAAATAAATAAAAAATACAACAAACAACAACAACGTTGTATTAAAAAGGTTATAATATAAAATAATAATTATATACAAATAAATAAAATCTAGGAAAAAGAATTGAAGAGCAATATTATTATTATAGCTTTCTAAATAAAAATAGTAAATTACATAAATCGTCCATGTGTTTATGCAAACTCTATTCATTGTTATTTCAGTTTCAAAATTACATGAGCACCCCCCATGTTTTCACACCTACCATTCCTGACCCTAATGACATTAAGGTGAGGGTATTTAATGCAATATTTTTAAAGAAATTAGGGGTTGTTTGTTTACAGAGACAATCTCTAAATCGTTAAGAGGTGAATCTTGTTTGACAAAAAAAAAATGTGCCTCTTAACGGTTCTAACACCCTCTAAATGATTTTGTATCATGGGCCTCTCTTAACCATTAAGTGCCTAATTTCATCATAAACAATTAACAAACAATTATATTTCATTTTGGACTATATCATGAGAGTCTCTTAATCATTATGATCACTTAATCATTCTGCACCAAACTATTCAGCAACTGCCAAACAACCCTTTAGTTAGAAAGACCTATTACATAACAAAATACAAACTATGGTTATCGTCACTATAATAAATGAATTATAAAGACCAAGATGTAATCTTCAATAAAATATAGGGACCAAATATGTAACATGCTCTATATATGTCTATATATAGGAGCAATTGGCTGGAGCATGGTTTACGCCCCACTATCTCAAAATCATAAAAGAAAACCAAACTCCAGCATGACAACCACAACTCCCCTCAACTTTGCAGGTCCAATGGGAAAATCCCGATGGTCTCTAGCCGGAATGACTGCTCTCGTCACCGGTGGTACACGTGGAATCGGTTATGCCGTGGTGGAGGAACTAGCGGAGCTAGGGGCGGTGGTGCACACTTGCTCTCGTAATGAGGCTGAGCTTAACCGGTGCTTACAAGAATGGTCTGCCAAGGGTTTTTGCGTCACTGGATCCGTCTGCGACGTATCTTCTCGCCCCCAACGTGAACAACTTATGGAAAAAGTCTCGTCATTTTTCGGTGGCAAACTCAACATTCTAGTAAGTTCTATTTGTTGTATGGAACTTCCTTCTTTCTCTTCATGTATCATATCATGTTAAGACTTGCATGTGATTGCTTTACTAGTTGAAAGGTTGATACCAAGTGGTTCAATTTTTTGTGAGTAAAGGATGAGAGATCATCTCTTGATATACAAGAGCATCTTCAATAGAAGTTTTAAAATATCTTTAAAATGTAAATTCAAAATTTAAAAAAAAAAAATAGTTATTGGATTTTAAAGATTACAACATTAATTATATTTTAAAAATATTTTACATATTTAATGAAATATTATTTCTTTCTGATAAATATTTAATTTTAAAGTTTTGATGAAATATAATTAAAATTTATTTCTCTTTCATTATAATTATTTTTTTTCAAAATTTTAGAATTTCGCATTCTTTTTACTACTTTCCCCATTTGAAGGAAGTTTTGGGAGCAAAATTTTCGACAAAAATACTCGAAATCTTTATTTTCTCAATTTTAAAGAATTTGTTGGAGATGTTTTTATATCAGGTTTTACATGAGGGAGCATCAAATCATAATAATACCTACTAAAAAGAATAAGAGAATAACGTTGGGACAATCATTTCATTAAATAATAACTTAAATAAAAATTTATTAAAAATCACTCAAAAGAGCATATGTGACATTTTTGTTACAGATTATATATGAAAATTGATTTATTTATATAAAGATTATTTAATAAACTTAATTAAGGCATTTTTAATAATAAAAAAATCGTGATTTAAGCATGGTTAATTTCTTATTTTTACAATATTTAAAATAAGTACAATTTAGTTTTATTGAAGTAGTTTATTTATGATTTTTTTTTTATAATTTTCGTCAAAAATCATATGTGATATACACAATTAATCGACTTTTTTTTTTCTTCCTAAAACCAAATCGTTAGTTTTCGTCAATGTATCATATATGACATTGGTTATAATAGAAAAGAAATGTAAATTATTTACAACATTACATGTGATATGTGTAAACTATGGATTACATTTTGAAGTACATGTGATACATTTTAAACATGTTTTGTTACACATCAAATGTGACTCTATTTTTTCATTATTTTTCTTTTTCAATATTTAATTTGAATAACTTCAGATTTTTTAATTTACATATGATTAGGAAATCATATACGATCAGGAAAACATTTAATTTTTTTATTTAATATGAATCACATATGATTTTAACGAAAACTAAATATATTGCTTTAAATGAAAAAAATGATTTATTTAAATGAAAACTAAATGCATTAA